AAAATCCGTCACTGCTGTTCACCTGTGAGACATCTATTGCTCAGAGGGCTGCACTACAGCTGGGAGCCCTCTGCAAAGACATCTGCTCCATATTGAATTTGCTGCACTGATGTGCATGTGTCATGGGTAGAGGTGAAGCAAGTGCCTAGGCAGTCAATAGACCCCTGAATAGGGGTAGGACACATCCCTAGTGGTTAGGGTTGTCCAGGGGGCGTTTCCACCTTGCTTGTTCTGGTCTTAGATCAGCTATATGAATATTAGTGTAAGTTTGTGGTTGCAAAGGGATAAGTGGGGTGGTTAATATGGAAAGGCCCCACCCTTAGCGGGGGTCTGGAAGTGATTTGCTAAGTGTTTGGACTTTGGAGGGGCAGACTTGTCTTTAACTCTTGGGGGTACCTGACTTTCGTTGCGGGCCATGAGCACCTACGTGAGACAGGTCAATCTCCACATTAGCAAAGGTGACGGGTCTCTCACATCAGCCCTGAGACACCTTTTCTTTTCTTTAGCCTTAAGTCAGGGTGATTCTCCTGCCTTAGTTTCCTAAGTGCCAGAATTACAAGTGTGAGTTACCACACCCGCCTAAGCACAGCATGCTTTTCAGCTGGTGTCTTTTCTTTTTTCTTGTTCCTCCCTGGATTACTAGGGGCCACCCAATTACAAAGAGTTGGGCAAAATATACTTTGTTCATCAAAAAAATTTAAAATGGAAATAAAATTTTTCAAAAAAGAAAGAAAAAGGAGAAAAAGAAATCAGTTTTAAAACAAGAGTAACATGAATGTTTATTTTTCAGCCCTTCTTCATTCGGATATACGTTTCCTTTCCCAATTGGTAAGGGTTAGCTGTCAACAAGAATCACCATTTTTCTGTGCCCTGGAAGTGATTTTGTCTGGTGCTAGAAGTATTACCTGGCATTTTTCATGTGGTAATCGAGGAGAGAAATTAACCCTAATGCAGATGGAACATTAACATATACCAGAAGACTTAATTACAACACATTAAATATCTAGCTAGAGTGAGCTTGCTTGGGTGTGGTAACTTATTCCTGAAATCCCAGCACTTGGGAGTACAAAAAGGAGAAGCAGGAGTTAGTTCTAAATCAGCTACACCACAAATTCAAACCCAGCTTGGGTGGTCTTACAAAAAACAAACAAAAATAAAAAAACAAAACCAGGGTAGAGAGATGATAGCTCAGCAGCTAAAAGCATCAGCTGCTCTTACAGAGGACCTGGGTTCAGTTCCCAGCACCCACATATAAATACAGTTACAGAGGATCTGTTTTCCTCTGGCCTCCATGTGCACCAGGCATGCAGTACACATACATACATAAGGCAAAACACTCATGCACATAAAACTGAATCTTTAAAACAAAATATTTTTGTTGTTGATCTGAAGGAAACCGTTAATGGCTACAGACACTGTTTAACTGGGAATCCAGAAAACAGGAGAGGAAGGGCCTTCTTTTCTCTCATCACAGGATCCAAGACTTTTTATTCCCAGTCCTGAGCTGCCGGACTCCTACAGCACACGTGGGAGGTTAGAGTTTCATACCAACCACTCCATTTACCTGATTCTCATTGAACAGTGTGACCCTCTATCTGTTCACGTGACCTGGAATAGTCAAGAGTCCTTGGTGTTCACTTGGCTCTGCTCTCCGGGTCTTTATGGAACTTCATGTGGGCACGGAAATCTTCTTGATTCAGGAAGCCTTTCCCACAAATACTGCAGGTGGCACGGTCATCCTCCTTGTGTGAGCGCCGAACATGGCTGTCGTGAGCAGCGTGGGACGCAAAAGGCTTACCACAGTGCTTGCACTTGAAAGGCTTCTCGCCGGAGTGCTGTCTGATGTGTGTGCGCAGTATGCTGGAAGCAGTGAACTTCTACAGAGGACGGAAACAGAAGGAAAAACCAACTTCCATGGGCTGGACAACACAACAAGGGGACTCATTTCACTGTAATGGACACATCAGCTTTTTTTTTTTTTTTTTTTTTTTTGAGCTCCTCTGATTTTGCCAGGTGGAGGTGGTGCATGCCTTTCATTCCAGCACTCAGGAGGCACAGGCAGGTGGATCTCTGCAAATTCGAGGCCAACCTGGTCTACAGCTTGAGTTCTTGGACAGTCAGAGACACACAGAGAAATACTATCTTGAGAGAGAGAGAAAGAGAGAGAGAGAGAGAGAGAGAGAGAGAGAGAGAACTCTGACTTTAAGTCTATATAGAACATTGTGGTCAACAGCGGTGACCTTAATATCAATCAATCAACCAATCAATCAATAAATGACTGGATGGGCAGGTGAAATGGCTCAGCAGGTAAAGGAGTCTGCCACCAAACCTGATCCCTGGGGCCCACATGGAAAGAGCTGACTCCCCAAAGTTATGCTCTGATCTCCCATATGTATCATGGCACCTGCCTCCCCTCCTCCATATATACACAACATTAAACAAACTAAATGTAATTTTAAAAGGACAGACTTTTCATCCTGGCCAGTTTGAGTACCAGATACTAGAACATGTATCTTCAGATGTTGTTCACCAGAACTGCTAGGTAAAAATGTGGATTGTTAGGCTGGGGTTAGCTCAGTGACAGGGTGCTTGCCTTGCAATTTTGAGTCCCTGAGTTTGAGCTCCAGTATCATTAAGAGGAAAAACAACAAAACAACAACAAAAAAAACCACTATCAGCCTTAACCCTAGACAGTGTGAGCCAAAAGAATGTAAAGTATGATCCGAAAGCAGCACAAAAACAAACAATTCTGGTTTTGGAGTCTGGTGAGAAGGGCACAATAGGGTCTCACTATGTGGTTCAGGCAGGCCTTGAACTCATTGGCAATCCTCTGCCTGCCAAGTGCTGAGATTATAGGCAATGCCACACTCTAAAAGGGCATTCTAGGTGCACTTGAAGATGAGTGGCATTACTGAGGAAAAGGTCAATTTTAATTGGTTTCCTTCTTTTTGTTCCTAGTCTTTGATGTTGTTGGTGGTGGTCTGTCTGTAGTGCCAAGGCTGGCTTTGAACTCATTATCTTCCTGTGGTTGCTTCCTCAATACTGAGACTACAGGCGTGTACCACCATGCCTGACTTCAACTATTAATTTAAACTTTGACTGTAGACTTGTATTAAGTTGTAAAATGCAGTAGAGATCTGTGTGCCTGTTACCCAGGTACCTCATTGCTTATGTCTTTCAATATCACAGCACAATTTACAAGTAAGATGCGTGGTGCCTGTCACCCCAGCACTCCTAGTAGAGGAAGGGGGATGAAAATTTCAAGGCTAGTCTCATATACATATGAATTTGAGTCCAACCTGTACCATATAAAACCATGCCACAAAAAGTGGTTGTGTGGGGGCCAGACTAGAGAGATAGCTCAGAGGTTAAGAGTACTGGCTGCTCTTCTGGAGGATCTGGGCTTGATTCTCGGTACCCCCAACATCTGCAACCCCAGTTCCAGGGGGGTCTGACAACTTCTGGCCTCCTCAGACACCAGGTATGCATGTGCTACACACAGAGACATGTATGCAGGCAAAACACCCAAATATATAAAATTTAAATAAATAAGCGAGACTCTACTTTTATTCCAAGTACCCCCATATTCCCCTTTGCAGTCACAGGGTTACTTTCCCTTTTCATTTCCTTAGGCTGTGACAACCACAGATGTGTTCTTGGTCTCAAAATCTTGACATGCATGGGTTATGCATGTGACCCTCTGGGACTCACTTTCCCCACCCAACACAACTCACAAATCGTCATCAAATTATGTTTTCAACAGTTGCATTTTTCTCTTCTGTGTGATATGCAGCAGCAAGTGGATGCATGCCAGGCTGTCACATCCGAGAGTGGACAACATCGCTGATTCCAGATTGGGGCTGTGATGTTTATTTGCTGTTATTTGTTCTTTTAAGATGGGGAGGGTTGTATTATGTTTATTTTTACAGTTGTGTATGTATTACACACACACACACACAGTATATACATATACATCAGAGGACAGCCTGCAGGATTCATTCTACTCTTAAATTTGTTTGTTATGGGGAGTATGAGCTAAATAAAAGATACCTGCAGGAGTTGGTTCTCTTCTTCCACCATGTGGGTCCTGGGTATCAAGCTCAGGTTGTCAGACTTGACAAGAGGCTACTTTACCCATTGTGCCATTTCATAGGCCACCTCAGGTAGCCTAGCTGGCCTCAGACTCACTGGGTAGAAGAGGCTGATGCTGAAAACCTGATTGTCTTATACTTTGGGGTTGCAGGCATGTACCTGGCTTAGACTTAATATTATTTTTCTCTCTGGGACATTTGGCAGTTTCTCAAACCCTTGTGGTGGTTTGAAAGAAAATGGCCCCCAAAGGGAGTGGCACTACTAAAAGGTGTGGCTTTGTTAGAGTAGGTATGGCTTTGTTGGAGGAAGTGTATCACTGTGGAAGCAGGCTTCGAGGTCTCATATATGATCAAGCCATGCCCAATGAGACAGATCATCTCCTGTTGCCTGAAAGTTAAGATGTAGAACTCTCAGCTACTTCTCCAGCACTAAGTCTGCCTGCATGCCACCATGTCACACCATGATAATAATATACTGGACCTCTGAAAATTAAATGTTTTCCTTTAGAAAAGTTGCCATGGTCTTAGTGTCTTTTCACAGTGATAAAACCCTGACTAAGACACCTCTCTTTTCCCTTTATAGCATTGTTGATAGTAGGGCATGAAAATGCCAAAGGACAGAAATAAGTGCACTCTCCAATAGGACTGTGCTCTGTGGCTGTGCTGTCTGTGCACCTTGTACCTGTGGCTTGGGGCACTTAAAGTTTGGCTAGTGAGACTAAGGAACACATTTCCTACTTATTTCCCCTTCTTTTTTTTTTTTTTTTTTTTTTTTTTTTTGTCATGTGTGTAGCCTAGGCTGGCCTTGAACTTATAGTCATCCCACCTCCCCCTGAGACTGCAGATAGGCTCCACTGTGCCTGGGTGTTTCCACTTCTGTGCTCTCAAGCAGCCACACAGAGAAATAGCTCCACATTGGACAAGACAGATGCATATCACCAATTAAAACAGGAGACGCTTTATACTATTCCTGAAACATGTTCAAACAATTGTCTGTTCCAGAATCCAAACCCTTAATACCTCTCTATCTCTATTGCTCAATGTTCTGTGATGCAAAAATCTGCAATGTCCCTCTAGAATGATTATCAGGGTATAGGAGTGCACACTTCAGTGGTTACAATTCGTCAGGCACGATGGTACAAGTTTTATATAGACTGACTGATGGAACCCAACAGCTACAATTTCCCCAGTTACCAAAGGGGAAACTTTTCAAGGTTACACAGTCAGATAAGCATCAAAGGCATGGCTGAATGTTGGCTAAGTCTGTACTCTTAAATTCTTTTAAAATTATTTTACTTTATCTTTTTGAGACACAGTCTCACTATGTAGTCCTAGCTGGCCTAGAATTCACTTGAAATGTCAGGTTTCATGCTTCCAGTTACAGATGGCTGGCACCAAGGGAGGTTTCACCTACCTTTGTACAATACACACACTGGTATGGCCTGTCTCCAGAGTGGACTCTCATGTGCTTGTTCAGGCTAGAGGACTGAGAGAAACTTTTTCCACATGTTGAACACTAAGGAGGAAACAAAAATTAGAGTTGAAATTACATCTTCCCCCAACAATTCTGTTTCAACATTAGGTTTTTCTAGGGGTGAGAGAAATTTTAAAAATCTATTACTTATTTGTTTAGAGAAAGGATTTTTTTTGTTGTTGAGACAGGGTTTCTCTGTAGCTTTTCAACTTGTCCTGGAACTCCGTTTGTAGACCAGGCTGGCCTCAAACTCACAGAAATCCACCTGCCTCTATCTCCCAAGTGCTGGGATTAATGGCATATGTCACCACGGCCCAGAGAGAAAGGGATCTTTCTATGTAGCCCTGTCTGTCCTAGAACTCACGCTATGTAGACCAGGCATGCCACAAACTCAGAGAGATCTGGTGTCTGACTTCCATGTCCATGCCTGTCTACAATTTACTTATTATTATTAGCGTGTATATAGGCACGTGACATGGCATCTGTGTGGAGATTAGAGAACCAACCACTTTGGAGTCAATTCTGTCCTTCAGCTGGTGGTTCCCAGAAGCCAATTCAGGTTGTCAGGCTTTCAGGGCAAGCATTGCAACACAGACATACTGACAGTCCAGGAACTCTTTTTTAAATTCTGTGCACACCTGTGAATCACCAGGCCCCTTGCTGAACACACTGGGCTTGCCTGAGATGGCAGAGCTCAAGCCAGCCTAGAAGCTGCCTCAGGCCTTCCTAAGTGTAGAGATTACAGAGCTACAACATGTGGCAGGGCAGAGTTTTCATGTGCATACACAGCAGGACAAGGTAGTCGAGGGTGTACCCAGCATCTTTTAATGTTAGTGGTTGTTGATCTGTGGTGGAGCATTGTTTAGCATGTGCTCAAACTGTATTCAATTCCTAGCATCCAAAGGGAAAGTGAACCAGGCATCCAAGGTTCTGTATATATGTTTCTCTTGAGATTTCTTCTTCTGGTGAAATCAGGTACAAATATTGACTTAAAAAATAAATGAACTGGGCATTGGTGGTGCACACCTTTAATCCCAGTACTCGGGAGGTAGAGGCAGGTGGATCTTGGAGTTCAAAGCCAGCCAGGTCTACAAGAGCCGAGTTCTAGGACAGGCTCCAAAGCTACACAGAGAAACCCTGTCTCGAAAAACAAAACAAAAAAGAAAGAAAGGAAGGAAGGAAGGAAGGAAGGAAGGAAGAAATGGGGACTGGAGAGATGGCTCAGTAGTTAAAAGTGTTGACTTCTCTTCCAGAGGACCTGGGTTCAATTCCCAGTACCCACATAGCAGCTCACAACTGTCTGTGACTCCAAGATCTGACACCCTCACATAGAAATACATACAAGCAAAATACCAATGCACATAAAATAAAAATAAATATTAAAAAAAAGAGCCAGGCAGTGGTGCATGCCTTTAATCCCAGTACTTGGGAGGCAGAGGGCAGAGGCAGGCTGATCTCTGTGAGTTTGAGGCCAGACTGTTCTACAAAGCAAGTTCCAGGACAACCTCCAAAGAAATAGAAATCCTGTCTCGAAAAACAAAACAAAAAGTCCATTAACTCTCTGGACGTGTCTGGCAAGAAAAACCACAGGAAATGCATGGTCAGGCTTTTTCTGAAGAGCTTAGATAACTGTCTCCCGTGTTCAGAAGAGAATTCCTCGGTAAAAACGTGAAACCCACGAATGGTTAAGCAGTGTTTTTGTTATAGTGAAGGAGGAGATGCACTTGTGCAAAGAGAAGGGACCCAAGATCTGTGCCTGGGGAGATGGTAATTGAGGATGAGGACATGAGTTCAAATCCCCAGCACATATATAAAAAGTTAGGTGCGGCAAAGCAAACCTGTAACCCCTGGGCTATGGGAGGCTGAAGCAGGAGGATTGCTGGGCTTTGCTGCCTGCCAGCCTAGCTCCATGTTCACTGAAAGACCCTTTCTTTTAAAGATCATGGCAGGAAATGATACAGGAGAACTAGACTTCAAACAGGTGACCTGAACAGCAACAATACGCACATATACACAGTAATACGCATTCACACATACATCACACATAAACCACACACACACACACACACACCACATCACATTCACTCTCTCTCTCTCTCTCTTTCTCTCTCTCTCTCTCTCCCTCTCCCCCTT